CTATCTATGTACTATCGCGGAAACTGTGTGCAGCTCCAAACTTACTATCTATGTACTATCGCGGAAACTGTGTGCAGCTCCAAACTTACTATCTATGTACTATCGCGGAAACTGTGTGCAGCTCCAAACTTACTAGTACTAGGCCTACACTTCATGTTTTGGGGCATGTGGAGTTATTGGTTTATCATCTTCTGGCTCATTTTTGATGAAAACAAAAATCCTTATCTTGAATAGAAGTCAAAAGACTTAAGATATTTGTGATTGAAAGAGATGGGAGTTGCCAGGTGTCAGAGGTAAAATTAATTGTGAAAATGGTCACTAAAGTTTGGTGAGTGTATACAAAAGCTGTGAACCAATGTGAAAACAACCGACTAATATATGTCCCGCACACTCCTATGACCTCAAGCAGTTGTGAGATTGATAAAACTTTTACCAAACTGACCACCAACGTTTGATTGTCCTTGGATAGGCCCCTACAGCAAATTTACGAGTTTTGAGCCTTTCATCAACGTTTTTCAGCACAGTCCATGCTGAAATGTATTTTTATGGACATAAAAGGCGGTTACCTAAAAAATAAAATAAAATAAAAATGATGAAAATTACCCAACAAGTGGAAAAATGTTGGTTTGTTGTACCTACTACCTAGTGTCCACTGGCGGATCGACTCTCTTATAGACCGATCGCCCGACTGGCGGCACGGAAAACAAACACATGCTTGTTTTTGTGGCCACGAGTCGGGCGATTGGTTTGTTTGTGCCACGGTGGTCACTGTCAGCTTCGGTTGGTTTGTGCTACAACCGTCGCTTTTCGCGCTCCCTCTGGCTCCCCCCCCCCACCAAACCGAACCGAACTCAACCGATCGTGCCTACGGGCACTGGGTATTAGAGTAATATATTTCCTTATTTTGACGAGCATCTGATTTCCCCATGATGTCACACAATGGGTCTGGGATATGAGATCAATCAGATCAATCACAATAAAGTTGACTACTAATTAACTTTTTTTTTTACACTCTATGCAACATTTTTTTGGGGGGATGACCTTTTGTCATATAAGCTCATAAATATACTGTATAGAATCTATATCTATATACAATAATATCACACGTTTTGTACCAGTATCCTAGTTCACAAATTTTGTTTGGTAAACTTGCGCTATATGAAGACACGATGCGAGAGGGTTTCCCCTCTATCTTTTTCTCAGACAAAACTACAACGTAACCTCGTTTCAAACATAACACTATTTCCCACCACTACCCTCAATATATCAAAGAAATAGAAAAAAGACAAACAAAATTTTACATACAGAAGACAAAAATACCCCCAAAAAATCTTTGACAAAATCTTTACATTCAAAATATAAATTACATAGCTAATAATATCAACGGATCCATAATACTGACATTTTACTCCATCATAACATCCCTTCCCCGCACGCCGACGTCAGTCTCACCATCATAACATCCCTTCCCCGCACGCCGAGGTCAGTCTCACCATCATAACATCCCTTCCCCGCACGCCGAGGTCAGTCTCACCATCAAAACATCCCTTCCCCGCACGCCGACGTCAGTCTCACCATCATAACATCCCTTCCCCGCACGCCGACGTCAGTCTCACCATGAACAACCTGACAGTCTATGGCAGGACGGTGGGCAGTCTTAAGTCCACACTCAGTTTTTGTGTTACGGCACATGCAACATAACCAGGGGGCAAGAGCTGCGTTTGTAGAGAGTCATGTGCAAAGAATAGACAGAGAAGAAATATAGATGATAGATGTTTGTTGGTGGTCAGGAAAAGAAGGAGCAGACCACACTAGTGCATCCACCAGCCACCCACTTATAATGCCCAGCTTCTATCACAAAGCCTCCCAAACTGAAATAATCAATCCATCCGGTGTGATCAATATCCTATTATATTGCATACACAGAAAAACACTTCTATTAAATGTTGTTGATCCGAAGCAGAGGAGCGATATATTCCTGGCAAATCTTTACAAGAGAACCCAAAATTTTCCAGGAGCACATGATGCCAATTTCCCTGAGTATACACATCACACAACAGAATGCGCAACCCCCCCCCCCACACACACACACACGAGTATGTTGGAACAAACTATAAACCAATAGCTCAACGATGTTCTGTGCATGAGACTCAACAATTGCAGATGTCAGGAAATGAACTTGTCTTGCAGTGGGCATAAAATTAGTTACTTTTGTGCCAGACAGTAAATCACCGATGAGAGCACAATATTATTTCCTTGGGGACCTCCTATATATATCTATTTTTTTTTAATCTGAAGTCTTTTAAGGCAATCGATATCTCCTTCCGGTCAACTGAGGTTCGGTTTCAATCTCAAAATCCACAAGTACTCGAGAGGTTAAAATGGCAAGGCTCTCCCTAGGTAGGTCTACTTTGTGTCTAAATTTGTTTAAAAGACGACCCATGAAAAGGGCAATAACTTGAATAATACAGTCAGCTTGGCACCAATTTCAAAAAAACTTTGAACAACTGAAATTCAACCAAGGGGACCTCAAATTTCTCAATATAGAATAAAATCAACATCAAGTTTATAACATTTCAACCAAAATTGCATAACTAATGCAAAATCTGAAAACCTCCTTAAATTCAACAATAATTAGTAATCGTGCCACTCTTTTTTTTCTTTTCAACACCGGATCCTTTGTGAGAATCGCACCACTGCTGCAAAAAATGACAGAGTTACTGCCTTTTAATTGGGTCCTCGCATTTTGGTTGTATTTTTATTTTAAAAACCTCGTTCTAATATTCCCTCACAAACTCACAACGTTCCTTCTTGCTTGAGAGTCACGGCACTAGACAAACTGGCCGTGGGGCCGAGCTCCGGAATGCGGGTGGGAGACTGTTTGCTGGGCGACGGTGTGTTGGTGGCGGTGGGCGGGGCTGAGACGGGCAGTTCTAGCGGGCCGACCATCATGTTCTGCTGATCTCCGAGACTGACCCCGACGTGTTCCATGGTGCTCATGTGGTGGCGGACCTCCTCCGAGAGGCCGTGGTTCGAACCTTCCTGGTGGTGGGCGTCCACTATCGGGGGCAGGTCCTGTGGGAGGATCATGTCTGTCTGTTGGAGGGCCTGGCTTGTGTCCGGGGAGTTGCTCATCTTCAGATCTCCCGCTATGTGTCGGATCTGAATCACCTCGGAGTTCGGATGAAGGGCAACGGTATCCGACTCCGTAACCGAGTGGCCTGGATTTGTGACAGTCGACGCAAGGCTTGCCTGGTTGCCATGGTGAGACGAGGTATCCTCCGAGACCCCTGTGGGGTCGGGGTTGGGGCTGTCTATGTGTGGCAAGCCGTGCGGCTGGCTGTGCAGAATGAGAGCCGTCGCGGTGGCTGCGTGGGCGTCGGCCGAGGAATGTCCAACATACGGGGCGAGGTGTGAGGAGGTCCCGCTGGTCCCCGGGCCACCACTGACGTACGTGTAGTCCGGGTTGATGCTCATGCCGAACTGGCTGGCCAGGTGCGAGTAGTAGAACATGGAGGACCACTGGGCCGTGCTGGCAGCGTGGGCCGAGGGTCGGCCGTCGTAGAACTGGCCGCCCGTGTGGGCCACCTGGGGCGTCAGCGAGTCAAACTGGGCGTCCATCGGGCGAGGGTTCGACGCCGTCTGTGTGACAAACGCCACCGGGCTGGAGCTGGGGCTCTGACCCGCCTGGCTGTGACCTTGAGACAAGATGTGCGCGTTGTTGGACGCGGGCAGGCCGGCGATCGTTTGCATGTTCTCGTACTTGATGATCTTGTGTAAGCTGGGCACCTGCTCCATGCCTCGCTGGATCTCGTGTTGCGTCGAGTCGTCCAGGATGATGTGTTCGATGTGAGTGGCGTTCCCCGAGCGAAGCTGCGTGGCCAGGGCGTCCCACTGCGTGGTGTCCATGAAGCGCTGACTCAGCACCTGAGACGTGGAGTCTAAGTCGGAGCTGCCTTCATTTGTGCTCAGCAGAATAGGAGGGTTGGAACCGCTGGCCGCACCCACAACTGTCGCCTTCTTCCTTCCTGCCACAGACGTGGATTCCGCCCCGCTGCCTTTCGAGCGGCGTGAGGCAGAAATAGGCGGGGCCTCTGGGGGCGCTAACACATTGCCCTCGTCGTCTAAAATGGCAACCCTTCGTGGATACGTCCTGGCAAACGCACGACTTGGCCCCTTATTGCTATTGGGCCTTGGCTGCACTCCAACTACCTTGAGAATTTCTTCTTTTGCCTTTTCTGCTTCTGAAACAGCACCGTCTTCCTCACCAATTTTCTGCACGTGGTACTCATTTGTCGATTTCACCGTGCAAACAATGTCCTCTCGCCAGTCTTTTGCAGTCTTTTTGATTTTATGCACAAGAATAAGGTGTCTTCGAATAATAGAAGCATCGGTAAAGAATCGCCCACAGTGTTTACATATGAAAGGTTTCTCTCCCTTGTGAACTCGCTCATGCCTCTGGAGGGCTTGCTTCTGCGTGAAGCCCCGCCCACACTCCGAGCAGGTGAACATTTTGTTTTGTTTGTGGATCCTCATGTGCATCTTCAGACCCGACCGTTGACTGAAACCTTTCTCACAGTGCTGGCACCAAAACTGCTTGGAGTCCGTGTGTGTGAATCGGTGATCACGGAGGGCAGACTCATAGGAAAACGACTTCCCACAAATCTCACACACATGCGGCTTCACACCCGTGTGTGCATCGGAATGCTCCTTCAGTGAATGCTTCGTCGTGAAGCTTTTCCCACACACTGAACAAAGATAACTCTTTTTCTGACCGAGATGAATGTCTCTCACATGGCATTCCAGAATGTAACGATTGCAAAACGTCTTCGGACACTGGTCGCACTTAAACTTAGGTTTCTTATAGGCTGAGTCGTGAGTCCTTCTGTGCTCCAGCATAGCTTTCCTGATCTTGTACATCTTGCCGCACACGTCACAGCAATGCTGGGGCTCGACGTGCGACGCTCGGTGGCGCAGCATGTACCGCTTGTTAGGGAACACTTTGGAACAAATATCACACTTGGTGGGCGACGAGAGGTGCATGCGAAGCTGATGGCTCCTCAGTTTAGTCCTTTTCTTGGCCACAAAGCTGCAGTCCGGACAAGGATATTCCATATCACCTTCATTCTCGAAAACTTTTGGTCGTCCTCGTTTTTTGACGGTAGGTAAATCTCCAGCTCCGACTTCTGATATTGGCACAACAACTCTGGTTTTCTTATAAGGGCCTCTCTTTTTTCCAATTCTGGATGGCCCTAACCCTGTTTTCTTATCAGGCTGCATCGATAGCTCACTTTTTCGAGGACGACCCCGTTTATTTTGTCTTAGCTCATCATTGTCAAGAGAACAGTCCTGAACATCCTCGCCTCTATCCGTATCTGGTGCCACATTTTCTTGAGCGATAGATTCCGTCATTTCATCGTGAGAGGTGGGTTTTGCCTCCCCCGCCGCCTCCTTCTCAGCTCCTCTCACGTCTGACGTCAACGGCACGTGATCCTCGTAGCTCTCGTCCTCACTGGCGCTTCTCTCAACTTCCTGCTCCTCCAGTTTCCTGCTCTGCCTGGCAGACTTCCTTGGCCGACGCTGCTTCTTCCTCTCCGAGCCCGTGAGAATATCCTGCAGGATGTTCGTTACAGCTGGGATGTAGTCGCGGTCGTTCAAGGACTCGTAATTTTCCATCGGCCCTTGGTCGTAGTCGATGGGTTCCCCGTACTGACCAGAGTTGGACTGCTGGTAGCTTTCTGTCCCAGCATCTGGATGTCTGGATCCGTACAAGGCTAAGGCAGTCACCAGGTGCTTGTAAGCCTTCTCCATGGACAGCCACAAGCCCTGGGAAACACAAACAGCGTTCAGTCAAATCCACGAAGACAGCCTCAGAATATGATTTCAAGTCAGATAAGCTCAGATTTTAAAGATCTCCACAAAGAGAAATTTGCTGCGGCACGGTGAACACAAACAGGCATACGCACTCGTCAACACACAAACACTCTCTCTCTTTCTCTCTCTCATACACACATTTATACATGCACACGATCACAAAAACAGCCATCAAAAGGATATAAATAAATGGTGGAGAATGTAAAAGGAAAATGCTATAGCAGCCAGGAGACAATTTAGCATTAAAAAAAAAAAGAAGAGGACTCTTCAATACTAGAGAATGTACTATCTGGTCTATCTATGAATGAATGAATGGTAGTTCACACAATCTCAGAGGACGAGCAGCTTTTTATCAATAATAAACATCACAACACTAGATCTACCCTCACTGGCTTAGAGAGAACTTAGAATTGCGGTAATTACTCTACTTGACATTATTTTAGAAAATTACCTTAATTAGGTGTATTCAAATTTCTAAACAAAAAGAAATAAAAGTCTAATATTTGCTAATATAGGCCTACAACTTTGTTTACAAACAAATTACATATGTGGTGGGAATGTGAGTTTGTTCTTGTGTGTGTGTGTGTGTTTGTGCGTGTGTGTGTGTGTATGTGTGTTAGTGTGACCATACCAAGCACCTGTTCAGGTGGGGTGGGGGACTGGAAGGAGGGGTAAGAGGGAGAAAGAGAGAGAGAGAGTGAGATATTTAAATTATCATTAGAATAAATCACAATTTTTGTACTGAAGCCAAAAATGGGAGGTTACTGCGTCAGTGATACGGAAACGAAGTAAATATAGAGTTATTTCCCATGTCAGTGTAACAACAGCTCGTCACAGCAGATACCTAGCAGAGTCCAAACAATCACCTACAGTTTCAGATACGACAAATACATTGTGGGCCAAAATGTGCTCTGCCACTATGTTACTGGCATTCCATTGCAAATGTTCGAAGGGCGCTGAACCCTGGAGTTTAAAAGTTTAAAGCGATAGATACTAACAGTCAGGCCCAACGCCATTTTATTCTCGCGTTTACAGTAATGGTCGAGTCCACTTCACTCGTCAGGGTCCACAGGATCAAGGTATACATTTTAGGTACTCAAAAAAGCAATAGAAAATCAGGTTAGGCTAAACTTTTCTTGCATTACAATAGCCACAATTTGTTCACCATGTTAGTGTTCAGAAAATTAATTCATAACTTCCAAACTTACCTTGAGACGGTATCTTCCCAACTTGTAAGCCCCTGCACCAACATTGTTTACAACGACGACGACGCCTGCGTCTTCACAAACCTTTCTCAACATCGCATCAAAATCAAAATCTTGGCAGAATCTGCCCACCAAATCATCAGCAATGTCTGCCTCCACATTAACAAAGATATTTGCCATGACTGAGTCAAAAGTCAGGCCTTTACAGTTGGGAAACAACCCAAATTTACACAAATTTCTACATGTGTCGACAAATCGCAAGCTTCCAGCACACCGTTAAACCTTCAAAAGAAGAAGAGTTCTTCATCAGATTGTCCAACATAAAATTAGATCTAATCGTTAGAGGCCTGAGAACAAAAGATGAAAGGTTTCGTCTTATCTGAGACAGAAGACAAAGAAAATTAGTAATCAATCAGTTGCTTAAAAGGATATTCATTTTGTGTATCAGGCTCTGTATGTAGAGGAAAAAAAACATAATTCGTCAGAGAACGAAATCTAGAAAATGTGTTGTGGGAATAGCTATGTCGCAGCGGACTCGTTTGCTGGGGCCAAGGCTGGGGCCTATTCCCACTCCTACATTATGGGACAGGTTCATAACAGTGGAGGGGGGAGGTGACGGGTGGGCGTGGCACAGACCCCTGGTATTGTACGCTTGGCCTGGGCCAGATCGCTTGGGAATGAAATTAGGCCATAGAAATAGGCAAAACAAAAGATCTTGAGAGCGGTCCACCTTGATTTTTCTATGAAAATTCACGGAAGCGGAAGCCGCCATGGGCTGAGACTTAGTCTTAAATAAAATTATTAATTAACAAAATGAAATCTTCATGATAGCTTCGTCCTCAAGAAGGACGCTGTAATCAATGGACTTTAAACCGAGAGGGTCGTATGGATTAATTCCGTTGTTATCATTAGATCTACAGTCGTAGTTCAATATCAATATCTTGTATATGTATCTAGATCAAGTCAATACATGTGTATAATTACAACTATCATCTGACACGGAACACACGCGCCTGAGCGTGCCAGTAAGGACAAATGAAGCGTGCGTGTTGTGTTGGTAGCCACCACTAAAATGGACAAAAGTGCAGGTTCGTCTAACTAGCAAGCAGGCCTACGTACATTTTGTCAGCTTTACTTCTCGTTTCATATTAAACTTTAATGAGAGTAATATATAATTTAAATTATGTTTATGTGTAGATCTAGATTCTAGTCACAGCCAAGGAAAATTTCCCTCTGTGATAATAAAGTATAGCCTATTATCTTATTTATCTTATCTTATCTTATATATACCGTAATATGTGGATATGTGAATGTGGATTTCAAATACCAAAGTAAAATAATAAAGAGCTCTTATGTAATATATGCAGAGTTTAGTGTTATGATTATGCCTTCTCTCGTTTTTGCATTCCAAAAAAAAAAAGCAATAGGGAAAATTAATTTTTCAGTTATTGGCACTGGGTGTACATATTTTTTTCAGCAGCCTTCATTCTGCGCTTGATCATTCAGGTATTGTGGAAAATCCACAGGTGTGCAATAAGGAACGACATATATATATATATATAAATATATATATATATGGGGAGTGTGGACAATTAAGATGAGGCTTTTGCCACACTAGGCTGTTAAATTGCTTGTTGAAGGTGGAGCAAGATCAGAATCAATTATGGACAAAAAATTCCCCAAGAACTTTCAAATCGTCAAATGAATCAGACGACGTACCTTTCAGTTTGGATTAATTGTTTATTTTAGTTGATATGCTATGCAACTCATTAAACTCTTGTTCAATACAAATTGAAGACTGTCACCTATATATATAGGCCTGTATATTCCTCTTAGGGTGATATTTAATTGGGTTTTTTTCCTACCGAAGCGGCTGCTTTAATTCTGACAAGAACAGTCTTTGGGACATTATTTTTATTTGTTTGTTTATTTGTTTTCCTTTGAATCTTGAGCTGCTTTGTTGAAGTATCAAAATATGTCAGAAGTTGCCTATGATACTTTTGAACTTGTAGTAGCAAATTAATGAACACACTCTGAAAAAGTGGTATACCTTACTTGAAAGTACATACAATACAGCGACGTAAGGTCCTGTCAATAGTCTGCGCATCCATAAATTTTTAATTGTTTTTTAATTAAACCTTTCCCTGAATTGAATGCCAAAAGACTGTCGCAGTGTAGTTAGTTTTGAATAAAGGAAGAATCTTGGAAGTTCAGGGTAGGATACATTTCTGAACCAGATGATGGCTCTGAGTTTTCTCGCCTTGCCTGACGTTCCGAGAGGGAAAACTCACTCTGGTCAAGCCTTTCATTTCATCGCACGTATAAAGATAACAAATCTCTGTTACATTATTGTTGTTTTTTAAATTTGTCTTATGCAGTGTACTTTCTTTTATTCTTTTCAGATGCCCCATGCAACCGCCTGTACATTGAAGATAAAAAGTTTATGTACAATGGAGTGCATGTGTTTCTGTCAGGGGGGAATCTTCCTTGGATCAACTACGCCCATGACTTTGGTGATGGTCAGTGGGTCAGGGTTCGAGACCAGGTGTCTGAACAGATGAGACTGCTGCATGATGCTGGAGGTAACTCTATGAGTAAGTTTCTGTGGTGTACAGTACAGTTGGACGCGCAGGGAAATCAGTGGAAGTCTGATTGTTTTTTCATTATTTACAAATTTTGCTATGTACATTTTTAAAGGATTTTAGAAGAAAATATAGATCTATGTAAAGGCCCCTATAGAAGAAAATATACATCTATGTGTATATATATAAAAGAAAATGATTTAATGTCCTATATACAGAAGAAAACAGTTCAGGGCCTGAAAATCTGTTAACTGTGTGTGTGTTTCCCTATGTGCATGTTCAATATGTGCGTTCTAGACTGTATACCATTAAAGATTGTCACTTGTGCCAGTAGGAACCAGAGCAGCCCTGGGTGTAAATAGTCGACTATCCCTACAACATGCCACAAAGTCTTCTTTCAGGTGGGATAACACGCGTACACACTCACTCACACTCACACGCACACACACACACACACACATATATACTCACACTCACATACCCACACTCACACACAAAAATACACACGCAACACACTCACACACAGTCACACACATATCGCGACCTCAGTGCCTTCTTGTGGTATTTCCATTTTTTTAAACATTGAAAATGTGACTTTTTCTTCAGCTCACTCTTTGTTATTAACTGTTTTTTTCTGTTTAACAAAATGGAGATACAACAAGAAAGCACTGAGTCGCGATATACACATACATTTACTCACTCACTCATTCACTCACTCACTTACTCTCACTTACACATGATGTATACACATACTTTCACACCACACACACACACACATACACACGCACACTCACACTCACACACACACACATACACACGCACACACACACATACACACACACACACACGCACACACACACACACATACACAGCTTTCTCCCTCACTCTCACCCTCAAATCTCAAACATTCCAACACAAATGTACATATTGCCCCTTTTGACGCGCCTTGTTTCCAACTCCCTCAGGGCTGTGGATTCACATCCAGGGGGAGACGACCCCCGCCTTTAACGAGGCCGGTTACGTAACTGCCATGGACAGACTCGGCACATTTCTCTCTGACTTCAAGGACATGTTGAACCTAGCTCAGAGGTAAGTTATGGGCGTGTACTTCACTCCTTTTTCTTCTCTTTGTTATTATAAAATGGTAGGGTTCAATTAGTTCTATGCCTTTTTTGACACTGTCAGCTTGATTAAGATACAAGAACTCAGTAAAAATTATGTAGGCCCTACATTATTATTTATTATGAATTATTATTTAGGGCTCACCTCCAATCTTACAGCCAAATAATTTCAGAATATAAGATTGGTTCCATTAGAAGTGAACTTTTTGTTTTTTAAAAAGCAATTGTACATATGCCCCAGATCTGAAATAAATTAACTGATAATTCATTTGTTCGGTAAATCATTCATTCATTTATTCACTCCATCTTGTCCTCAAGGGTGGTTGGCAGGTGCTCTGGTGTGATTTGCTCCTTCTTTCCTATCAAACATCTATCGTCCTGATCTCTCCTTCTTTTTTGTGCATGTTACTCTCTTGTAAAACCTCGAATCTTCAGCACTTATATGACCTTTTTATGTTGCAAGTACCGTAAAACTCTTACTAAAACTAAAAACGTCTTGTCCTCCTGATTTCATGGTAAGTCATTTATTCAGTAAGTCATTTATTTATTCATTTATTCACACCATCTTGTCCTCCTAATTCCATGGACAGTCATGACATTCTCGTATTCCCAACTCTGTGGAACGCTGCGGTCAACCAAGACACTCATGGCCGGCTGGACGGACTCATTCGCGACCCAGACAAGCTTCAGAGCTACCTGGACGTTGTGCTGACCCCTCTGGTCAAGCAGGTCAAAGGTCACCCGGCTCTCGCGGGCTGGGACATCATCAACGAGCCAGAGGGAATGATCATTCCTGCGAAGGTCAGTAGAGAGATCGATGCAGTCGAACCTGTGCTAACTGTCAGCCACCTATCTAAGTCTAAGACAATCACCTGTACAAACGGTCACCTGTAAAAGATAAGACAATCACCTGTATAAGACAATCATCCGTACAAGACAATCACCTGTACAAATGACCACTTAATTCCCACTTCACCTCATGAGCTTTTTCTGTGTTATTATAACTCTGTCCTAAACAATGTCTGAAGTGGCCTATAAACTTGTTGATCCTACTTCCACTGTATGCTGACTGGGGAGCAGAGAATGTTTCTGAGCCAGGTTCTTGGGTCTGCTGAGGTAATAATTGTTGTAAGCTACACAGAGAGAATGCCATAGAGTGTTGATATGCCGTTTATAAATACAGTTATCATTACTTCTTTACTACAGGTATCTCTCTTTAGTTTCTGCCCCTCTCTCTTCCTTTTCTCACCACCCTCAGTACCTACTACCTGGATTCTGTCCGTAGGCTTCTCTTCTCTTCACTCAGTCAAAGGCTGTATGTGGCGGGTGCTCTGGTGTGGTTTGTTCCTTCTTTCATATCAAACATCTATCATCCTTTTCACTCATCCTTCTTTTCTTCGCATGTCACTCTCTAGTCATCATCATCTAGTGCCAGATCTGCGACAGACATCGGCGATCATGGTTCTCCTTTCATACCTTTGCTCGGATGCTCTTAAAAAGCTAAATTTTCCTGATCTTTCCCCGTTACCCATTTGTTTAGGTTCCCTAAGTAGGTTGTTCTGGGCCTACCCCTGCCTCGTTTGCCTTCAATTTTTCCAGTGAGAGCTAGATGTTCAAGACCTTTGATCTTTGGCACTTTTATGACCTGATTGTGTAGCAAGTGCCGTAAAACTCTTACTGACTACAAAACAAACAACTGATCAACTCTTACTGACTACAAAACAAACAACTGATCAACTCTTACTGACTACAAAACAAACAACTGATCAACTCTTACTGACCACAAAACAAACAACTGATCAACTCTTACTGACTACAAAACAAACAACTGATCAACTCTTACTGACTACAAAACAAACAACTGATCAACTCTTACTGACTACAAAACAAACAACTGATCAACTCTTACTGACCACAAAACAAACAACTGATCAACTCTTACTGACTACAAAACAAACAACTGATCAACTCTTACTGACTACAAAACAAACAACTGATCAACTCTTACTGACTACAAAACAAACAACTGATCAACTCTTACTGACTACAAAACAAACAACTGATCAACTCTTACTGACTACAAAACAAACAACTGATCAACTCTTACTGACCACAAAACAAACAACTGATCAACTCTTACTGACTACAAAACAAACAACTGATCAACTCTTACTGACTACAAAACAAACAACTGATCAACTCTTACTGACCACAAAACAAACAACTGATCAACTCTTACTGACCACAAAACAAACAACTGATCAACTCTTACTGACCACAAAACAAACAACTGATCAAAGCCTGTGCTGTCGACCTCTCCAGTGGAGCCGGGAACGCTGCTACGACACTCTCGCCCTCATCTTCTCGGGGATGGGCTGGGCTGGCAAGAAATACTGCTACAAGGAGATACAACGGTGAGTAGGACAATATACGTGTGTGTGTGTATAAATATAATATATGTGAGGCGTGTGACAAAATGGAGATATTGGCCAAAAATCGACACTAGGGTCAAATTTGTAAATTTTCTATTGATGCCATATTCTTTAAGTATAATAAGCGTTTTATTATTTTATACTTGTAAATTGTAAAAACTTCACCTATAAGCGTGACGTATCTGTTTCCAAAGGTCTCAACTCGGAGAAGTAACTCATTTGTGTGTGCGCCTAGAGAAAGGTACCAAGAGTCGCCCCAGACTGTTTCAAGCTACAGGCTGATCATTACAAAAATCACTTTTTTGACCAAAATGTGTTTCCATAAAAAAATGATAGATCCACCATTTTTATATGCTGTGCCCAAAGGGTTTTCATTGATTTGACTTCTAAATGTTTTGAGGGTAGGGTATAACAATAACAAATGATAAAAACTGCTTTTGAAAGGGGTTAAAATTTATTCTTGAAGCACATTTTCTCTTCCCTGCTAATACTGCTATGTTTTACCCTTGAATTCCATTCATGACATTGATGTCAACTTGATGCCAAATTGGAAATGAATTTTTCATGAATAAATATATTTTAAAAATCGTTGTTTTTTAAAAGTTTATATGTGTTCTCACGTTTGTTAAACTAAAAAGCTCATTTTCTCAAAATTATATTTTTATACCCTACCTCTCAAAATTGAGCCATATCTCAAAAACTACTTGAGATATCTAAAAAATTCAAAGACCCGTGTGTTCAGCATTGAATTTCCTGTAAGGTACAACCCTTAACTCAAAATGGTCAAACTCCGACTTTGGTTCCTTTCTATAGGCACACTCACGTTTTGTCAGCACCCTTCACGCACACACACACACACACACACATATATAACTATAAGGATGGTAAAGAATCGCAGATAAACTTTCGTAGAGAAGTCATGTGACTTGAAGAACAAACTTGATTGGCATTCAAGGATATGTCATGGTTTGTCAAAAAAGGTCTACAGCTTTAGTGACATTTTGTTTTTAAAAAAAAATAATCATTTTCTGTGGATCTTTAAAGAGGAAAAGGCAATTATTGTGAAAACAAAAGCTGCCTCTGGAATGTTCCTCACCTTTCTAGATTTTATGACGGCACTAGTTTCAGCTAAACTTTGAAAGTCTTGTTTGTCACATTTTGTTGTGAAAGTGTTGTGTATATATATATTACTTGTACATCATAATATAATTGTTCATGGAAAATCCAGCGTTAGAGGATAAGGTCATATGAGTGAGCGGGACACATTAAACTTTTCCGTTGGTAGGAAGTTTTGAATATTGCCCGGGTGGGGACCGAAGTCTCTTATCGATTCTGAATGGCCAAGGGATCTCTAACATGCGCAACTTGCGCACGGTTCCTCTGAAATTTTTCGCCCTAATCTAAGAAGGCTAGGTGTAGATCTTACCTACCATAAGATCTGGGGTGTGGCTGAAAGACAACAGTAAGAAGGAGCCATAAAGGAGTAGCAGTAGAAAGGCTGCAGAAAGAGTCAGGAGCTCAGAAGAGGGGGCAAAGGAGGTGAGGGGGTGGGGGGCAGAAAGTGGAGATGAAAGCAGACAACAGAACATTGCTAGAGAGCAGGAAAGAATGTAAAAGTAGAAAATTTTGGAGGAGAAAATTTTCTGTCGCTTTCCAGGTTCGAAACCAGGACCTATTGAATGAGAGGTGATCACCTTAAGCTCTAGGCCACGAGAACCCCTAGAGGAGTTTCAGTGCTTATGTTTCTACATTGTTTCCCCATGTATTTCTGTATAGATTCACACTTCTGTTTCTTCGTTGTCTCCCTGTACATTTTTGTATAGATTCATGCATCTGTTCCTACGCTGTTCCCCCATATATTTCTGTATGTCTGCGTAGATTCATCTGTTTCCCCGTGTATTTCTGTATGTCTGCGTAGATTCGTCTGTTTCCCCAGGGTATTTCTATATTTCCGTGTAGCTTCATCAACTGGCAAGCAGACGCCATCAAGTCAGCTGACCCGGCGGCCCTGGTCACAGTGGGCGTGTTTAAACCCAACTCATGCACCGACAGCTTCTGGTTGGTCAACCACTACTCCGACACTTGCCTGGTCGCTGCGGGGGGACGACCACTGGTCAGTGGGAAACACAGTCTAGCACATATTATATAGATAGCTCACACATAGAGAACATGCACACATACATAAATAACATAACAAACACATACCAAACGAAATATACACATAGCTAACACATACTAGCGAAACAGGCAGTAGCAAATACACACGTAGCAAACACGTATGTGTAGCGGAACACGCACATAGCGAAACACACTCATAGGAAGTTATTTTGGGACAGGAAAAAGGGAAGTAATCTACCCAGGAGCTGAGAATTGTTCATAGCGTTCAAGTTTCTACCTGGGGTAATAGTAAACCACAAAGGACTTGAGACCTACTTTGTAGTGAGAATTTATGCACAATATAAATACAATCTATTGTGCAATATCTATTTATTATAATCTATAATATAGATAATTATAATATATCTATTATAAATCAATTAATTTCTTTTTAAAATGTGAGGCATCGTGGTGAAATCAGGTTCTCATCAATGTAATAAAATCAAAGAAACAGCATTCTTCTAGTTTGGCAATTATTGTCCGATTTTTGTTTTTTTGGCTCAATACCTTTTATGTCCATATAAAGATACATTTCTGTGTGAATTTTACTGAAAAACCAATTAATGAGTCAAAATATGTAAATTTTCAGTGTTCGAAGACTCTCAAGCTAAAGAAGTTACCAAACTTCAGCAGCCATTTTCTGGCAAATTTTACCTCAGAAATCAGGCATCCCCCAACTCCTTCCATTACAAATATCTCATCTTCTAATCAAAATAGATGGGTGGGTAGTTTTTTTCATCGAAAGAAAAACGAATAAACAAGCTCTAAGACGATACCAATAACTCCAAATGACCGAAAATTGGCGAGTGCCTGATTCCACTGCGTCAGGACTCAAATCTTTTTTACAGATTTGCTTTCCCAAAGTCTGGGCTGATGTGTTGTTGTTGTTGTGTGTGTTTTGTTTGTTTAAAGACATATGTGTGTGTGTTTTAGACATATGTGTGTGTGTTTTGTTTGTTCAGTGACATATATGTGTGTGTGTTTTGTTTGTTCAGTGACATATATGTGTGTGTGTTTTGTTTGTTCAGTGACATATATGTGTGTGTGTTTTGTTTGTTCAGTGACATTGATCTGACAGGTTCCTTTTTTGTTCGTCTTCCAGGGCACCCTGGACTTCTATGAGTACCACTCGTACTCGTGGGATGGTATCTTCGACGGTGTGGCAGTTTTCAGAGTGAGTCTACTCCTTTTTGCTCCACTGTTGTGTGTTTGTGTGTGTGTGTGTGTGTGTGAGTGAGTGTCTGTGTGTGTGTACGTGTGTGTGTGTGTGTGTGTGTTTATGTGTGTGGGGGTGGGGGGGGGGGGGGAGTTATATGTGTTTTGATACACACAATATACAAGTATACAAAAAAGTTGGGGACTAGATCTAGAAAATCTGTTTGCTATTGCATGTTCACTGTCTGCTTGCAAGACGATATTACTCAAACTATTCTGTTCTCTTGTCTTGTTTCTTCCCCACCCTATTTTGATAATTATTGCTTTGATGTGCTCCTCTTTATTGGCGGGTGCTCTGGTGTGGTTTGCTCCTTCTTTCCTATCAAACATCTATCGTCCTTATCTCCCCTCCTTCTCTTTTGTGTTTGTCACTCTCTTGTAACACCTATTATCTTCAGCATTTACATGACCTTATTGTGTAACAAAAGCTGTAAAACTCTTCATTCATTCATTCATCCAGTGCCAGATCTGCGACAGACATCGGCGACCATGGTTCTCCATTCTTTCTTTGCTCGCATGCTCTTAAAAAAGCTACGTTTCCCTGATCTTTCCCTGTTACCCATTTGTTTAGGTTCCTTATGTAGGTTGCTCTTGGCCTACCCCTGCCTCGTTTGCCCTCAATTTTGCCTGTGAGAGCTAGATGTTCAAAACCTTTATGTCTATTCAGGAATCCTAAAACCGCATTTGTTGTTTCCTGATTGTTTTTAACAGTGAGTGTCCCATGGCAAAACTCTTACTCAAACTCCGTTTTCTTTCCCTGGAAACTCCCCGCAGCATTCAGCCCCAGACTACAAGATGAACAAGCCGATCCTGGTGGGGGAATTCTGGGAGAAGGAGGGCGGCGGTCTGACCATCACGGAGATGTTTGAGTACGTGTACCGCGGGCTGTACGCCGGAGCCTGGAGCTGGGACCTGGTCAAGTTTGGGGAGAGTCAGAGGCGAGGAGTTGACCACATCCGGCACTTCACGGGGAACGGGACCATCCCGATACACTTGCCGAGGGAGGGGGAGGTGTGGGGTGAGCTAGAAAATATTAGGAATGAGCTAGAAATTACTGGGGATGGGCTAGAAAATATTTGGGATGAGCTAGAAAATACTGAGGAGTTAGAAAATACTGGGGATGTGCTAGAAAATAATGGGGGTGAGCTAGAAAATACTGCTGATAAGCTTGAAAATATAAGGAATAAGCTAGAAAATGTTACGGACGAGCTAGAAAGTACTGGGGAACACGACGGATGAGGTAAAAAATACTTGGGGATGAGCTAGAAAATATAATGGATGTGCTAATATCTTGACAATATACATCTTATATCCTTTATACATTCTTTATGAAAGAGCTTTCTTACTTTTACAGTAGGTGTCGCATTCAAGATCTCGTTGAATGTGACTAAGGCTAAAGTAAAGTAGGAGACAAGTTATAATATTGCACGATGTACTAATACCAGTCATTAAAACAGTTGTTCCCCCTGATGACGAAAATCTCAAACAGCATCAGTGTGCGCGTGTTTGAGATGTGTTCTGACCGTCATTTCTGCATTTTAAAATTTATTTTTCCGGAACACTTCTCGTGTGGAAACCTCCCGTCTCACATCTAGGCCTAGATCTACATAAAATAAAGGCGGGAGCTTGGATTTTCTGATCAGGGGAAGAAAAGAAAATTGAAAATATTGAAGGTCTCAATCTAGACCTACCCACCCAGAGTTCATCCAGTTTCACACAGCCCACATCGCGTTCCCACCCACCCCCTCCCTACCGTAGGCCAACCCTCGCCCATCCTCTTGGCTTTGGGGCCCATATTAGGAGGCACACTAGGTCTACCAATACAATGTGGTAGGAATCGAGGATGGGCCTTGTGCTTCGCGTGAGATGGAGAGAAAGGAGAAAAATTCTTCGCTTTTGGGGCCTCTAATTGTGTTTATTTGGTTATCGTGACCTCGTTGAAAGCGACTTCGGTGTGTTTGCAACCTCGGTGGAGCTAACGTACTTTTGCAAAGAGATATAGAGGAAAAATTGGGGATTAAAGATTGCCTCGTTGGAGCTGACTTCTCGTTGAAAGTGAGCTCGTTGAATGCGACACCCACTGTATACAGGAACTCTTTCCAAATCTGTGATAGTCATTATTCTGTTGGTATGCTTCTATTTGACTGGGTCAATATTTTGTTGTTTTGAGAGAAGATCTGTTCACGACTCAAAAATATTTCCCACATTGTGTTCGAACTTTGAATGAAAATAAGACACTGCTGATTATTTGTTTGGATTTTTTAAAGCAAGATTTTATCTTGCTGGCTGTGTCAAGTTTTGTTTGTTTGTTTTTTATCTTAATTTTTTTTTCTTCCAACACGCTAGCTCTCACAAGTGTGGTCAACCGTTGGACCTTCAACCTGCAGTGCAACTGATGTTTCCATTTGTGAACATATTTTTTCTTACATGGTAGGCTCCCTTGCCTTTAGGCAGCTACATTCCAATTATGAAGACAATCTTTTAACACGTTTTTATATTTACTACAGCTCTTTCAGTTTGGTCACTTTGAATTTTGCCTAGGTGGCCGAAGCCTATCTACTCTTTTCAATTGTAGGACTCGACTGCTAAGGGACATGTAACACGAGCAACGTGGACTAGAAGAAGAACATTTTTTTGGCACTGTCAGGTTTCGAACCCTGGACCAGTGAATGCGAGGCGAACACTGTACCTCTAGACCACGAGAGCTCCCTTGTCCAAGTTGATGATTGTTTGTCTGTTATGCATTGATATGGTGGCAGTCGGTTTTGTTTGTCTTTTATGCAATAAAATGGGGGCAATTAATTTTGCCAATAAATTTGCTTTTTTCGTTGGGACCACATAATAATAATAATTGGACTAGCCTTTTTGTCTTTTTTGTTGTCATTTCACATTCTAAGGATGATTAGTCTCCTGACTTTTCTACCACACAAGCTAAAGTGTTGCTGCTGTCTCACAGAGTGTAAATCTAACTTCTGTAACCTTTATCCGAACTGGAAGAGACACCGGACATTCCCTCAACATCTCAACCACTGGTCTGAGATACACATCTCAGGTGACGTGTTGCATTAGAATTGTCAGCTTTTATGTATTTTTTCATATATATCGAAATTCTTTGTGAAAGTGACATACAATTAAAAATCTATGGATATCTACATATTAGATTTTTTACCATTTTTACCTTTCCTGGGATGAACTAGAAAATAGTGGGGATGAGCTAGGTATTAATGAGATAGAAACAACTGTGGATGAGCTGGAAAAGGCTGGAAATACTGCGGGAAATAGTGGGGATAAGCTATAGAATATTGGGGATGAGCTGGAAAATACTGGGGATGAGCTAGAAAATAGTAGCAAATACTGGGGATTGGCTAGAAAGTACTGGGGATGAGCTAGAAAATAATGGGGATTACATATAAAATATGGGGGATGAGATTGAAAATAGTGGGGATAAGGCTAGAAAATAGTGTGAAATACTGAGGATAAGCTAGAAAATATTTGCAATTATCTAGAAAATAATGGAGTAGAGCTAAAAATATTTAAAAATTAACTGGAAAATACAGGGGATGAGCTGGAAAATATCTGCAATTATTTAGAAAATATTAGGAATGAGCTAAAACAAATTTTCAATCATGTAGAAAATACAGAGGATAAGCTAGAAAATATTTGCAGTTATACACAAAATACTGGAGATGAGTTAGAAAATGTTTGTATTTACTCAGATAATACTGGGGATGAGCTAGAAAATATTTGCAGTTATCTAGAAAATAACGGGAATATGCTGGAAAATACTTGCAAGTATCTAAAATACTGGGGTAGAGCTAAAAATATGTGAAATTAACTGGATAATTCTGGGGATGAGCTAGAAAATATTTGCAATTATTCAGAAAATACTGGGGATGAGCTTGAGTATATTTGCAATTATCAAAAAAATACTGGGGGGGCGCCAGAAAATATTTGCAATTATCTAGAAAAAACTGGGGATATGCTCTAAAACATTTCCAACTATCTAAAAAATCCTAGGGATAAGCTAGAAAATATTTGCAATTATCTAGAAAAAAATGGGGATTAGCTAAAACATATTTCCAAATCCAATTAGGTAGAAAATACTGGGGATGAGCTAAAAAATATTTGTAATTATTCAGAAAGTACTGTGGATGAGCCCGAAAATGCATCCAGAAATACTGGGGAAGAGCTAGAAAATATTTGCATTTATCTTGAAAATACTGGGGATGAGCAAGAAAATATTTGCATTTATCTTGAAAATACTGGGGAAGAGCTAAAAAGTATTCTCAATTATCCAGAAAATACTTTGGATGAGCTAGCAAATACTTGCTATTATCCTGAAAATATTGGAGATGAGCTTGAAAATATTTGCAATTATTTAGAAAATTGTAGAAATGAGCTAAAACACATTTTCAATTAGGTAGAAAGTACTGGGGATGAGCTAGAATATATTTGCCATTATCTAGAAAATACTGGGGATAAGAGAGAAAATATTTGCAATTGTTCAGAAAGTACGGTTGATGAGCTAAAAAATATTTTTGATGATCAAAAAACACTGTGGATAACCTAGAATACATATGCATTTATCTAGAAAAGACTGAGTATGATCTATAGAATATTTGCAATTATTTGTAAAATATTGGGAATGAACTAGAAAAATATTTGCAATTACTTACAAAATAGTAGAAATGAGCTAAAATACATTTTTAATTATGTAGAAAATACTGGGGATGAGCTAGAAAATATTTGCAATTACCTTGAAAATACTTGAGATGAGCTGAAAAATATTTGTAATTATCCAGAAAATACTGAGGATGAGCTAGGAAATATTTGCAATTAACTAGAAAATACTGGGGATGAGTTGAAAATATGTGCAATTATCTAGAAAATACCTAGGATCAGCTAGAAAATATTTGCATTTATCTAGAAAATACTGGGGATGAGCTTGAAAGTATTTGAAATTATGAACAAAATACTTACAATAAGCTAACAATATTTGCAATTATCTAGAAAATTATTTCCAATTATCTAGAAAATACTATGGATGAGCTAGAAAATATTTGCAATTATCCACAAAATACTCGGGATAGGCTAGAAAATATTTGCAATTATCTAAAAAATACTGATGATGAGCGATATAATATTAAAATTATCCAGAAAATACTAGGGATGAGCTAGAATATATTTGCAATTATCAAATAAATACTGTGGATGAGCCAGAAAATATTTGCAATTATTTTTTTTTTAAACTGGGAATGAGCTAAAACACATTTTAAATTATGTAGAAAATACTGGGGATGAGCTAAAAATATTTTGTTTTTATCGAAAAAATACTGGGGATGAGCTAGAAAATATTTAAAATTATCTAAAAAATATTGGGGATGATCTAAAAACTATTCACAATTATCCATAAAATACTGGGGATGAGCTAAATAATATTTGCAATTATCTAAAAAATACTAGGGATGAGATAAAAATATTTGCAATTATCTAAAAAATACTGGGGATTAGATAAAAAAAAAATATTTGCAACTGTCTTAAAAATAGTAGTAGGCCTAATGAGATAAAACACATTTTTAATTATGTAGAAAATACTGGGGATGAGCTAGAAAATATTTGTATTTATCCAGAAAATACTGGGGATGAGCAAGAAAATATTTGTATTCATCCAGAAAATACTGGGGGTGAGCCAGAATATATAAGCAATTTTTTTTTTAATACTTTGAATGAGCCAGAACATTTTTGCAATTGTCTAAAAAATACTGAAAATGAGATAAAAAATATTTGCAATTATGTTCAAAATTGTAGGAATTAGCTAAAACACACTTTCAATTATGTAGAAAATGCTTGGGATGAGCTTAAAAATATTTGCAATTATTTAAAAAGTAGTACGAATGAGATAAAACGCATTGTAAATTATGTAGAAAGTACTGGGGATAAGCTAGAAAACATTTTCAATTATCCACAAAATACTGGGGATAAGCTAAAAATATTTGAATTAATCCAGAAAATACTGGGGATGAGCTAGAAAATATTTAAAATTATCTAGAAAATACTGGGGATTAGCTAGAAAATATTTGCAATTATTCAGAAAATACTCGGGATGAGTTAGAATATAATTGCAATTATCCAAAAAAAAATACTTTGGATAAGCTAGAATATATTTGCAATTATCAAATAAATACTGTGGATGAGCCGGAAAATATTGGAATTATTTTTTTTTTAAACTGGTAATGAGCTAAAACACATTTTAAATTATGTAGAAAATACTGAGGATGTACTAAAAATATTTGTTTTTAATGAGAAAATACTGGAGATGAGCTAGAAAATATTTTAAAATATCTAGAAAATATTGGGGATGATCTAAAAACTATTCAGAATTATTTTTAAAAATACTGGGGATGAGCCAGAAAATATTTGCAATTATCTAAAAAAATACTGGGGATGAGATAAAAAATATTTGCAACTATCTTAAAAATAGTAGTAATGAGATAAAACACATTTTTAATTATGTAGAAAATACTGGGGGTGAGCT